GGCTGCATCTTCGGCATCAAGTAAGTAAAATTCTGGCATCAGGTAAGAAAAAATTCTCTACTGCCCACCGCACACCAATCGGCGATGCCAACATCAGAGGTCTTTGCAAAAAAAAATGCAAAGACCCCCACAAGTGGACACAGTTGCTTTAACCGTTGCCATCAGTCACCAAAACAATGCTGTGGATGATGTGAGTGTTTTAACACTTAAAGCAGCCCTACAGTTTATCAGGATGATGGTGCGTTCTGGGAGCATCTACATTCGCACCACCATGTCAGCAGTGTTGGTCAGCCAGCAATTTGCATATGGTAACTTTCTTTAACTGTGCATGCAATTGAGAAACCTGTGTGCATAGGCCCTCATTTACAAGGAACAATTGGATGAACTGTAAGATGGCCTTTAATCTACTGAGCTAAAGCATGACTGTGGATCAAGGCATAACCACCAGTTGCCTAACTGTCCCATGACCAAAACTAGCCTAGTTATAATGACAACTCACAGGGGATCTTTTCTAAAGGAACAGCTGGAGAGCCACGTTATCTTTTCCTGCTTTAAACCGTAGGCTCTGTATAGATGTCACTTCTTTAAATCTACATGGAATACTTTTAAAGTATAAATTTTTCTAAAAAAGTTCCTTAAAGCACCATGACCACTTCAGTTATTTGTTTCATTATAAAGCTCTGTACATACAGAGTTTAACCACTTTGCTGCCAGTGGTTACCCCCACCACCAGCAGTATCAATAAGGTGTCATTAGCCAGCCTAGAACAAAAGTTCAAGGCTGGCAAATGTCAATTCTGTGCATATAGGACATCGGACGTCAGCATGACGGCAATGGTAGCATGCTCCCCTCATCCCCCAACTATATTCTCGCTTTAGCCCACCCTCCATGACATCTATCCCACCCAGTGAGAGGAATAAAATCAACAAAGGAGAATCACACTAAAGGGAGAGCTTAGACTAGTGGACCAGAATAAATATTTTTATTTTGTTTTATCTGTGGTGGGGTGGAAGATTCCAAATAAAAAGGTTCTGTGGTTTGCAGAGATCATTTAATTCAAAATAAAATGTAAAAAGGAAAAACCACACCAATATTTATTACCTAGACAAATTTTCCATCTTCTTTCGCCTCTCTGAATAGAACTTCTGCGTACGATCGTAATTGTAGTATGGTCTGGTTAATTGCATGGATTCATCTGACATAAAATAAATAAATAAATAAAATTATATATATATATATATATATATATATATAGTGTTTAGTCACCATTTACCAAACATTTCCTATCAGAATAACAAGAAAATATTAGTCATTATGCCCTTCTACAAATTAAGTGATTAGCAGTAGAATATCTGGTACTTGACTCAATTATTCCAGGTTTTGTTAAAACAAAAACAAAACTTCAACTACTTGAGTAATTACAACACAACACTTGCCTGCATTATCTGGCAACAGACCAATTCGACAAAACCAGAGGACAACAGAGGCATAGAGTGTCAAAAGTCTACCTACAGACTGTTTGTTTGTTAGGTCCATTAGGCCTGTAAAGAGAAGAATGAAACAAACCATGTACATTATTTTGCTTGGGAATAGCAGAAAGCCTACACTTGCATGTAAAGGAAAATTAGGTACCTTGTATGGTTACTTCCTGTGCTTCTGTTAAGAAACAACTCAAAACAGTTGTCAGATTGCTGAAACGCAGATGGCAGTGTTGAAGAGACTGAAGTGTTTGTGGATCAATGAAATTACACGACCCGTCAAAAAGAGGAACACCTACAAAATACAGTTAGATATAGCTTGCAGTGAGGAAAAGAAATATAACAATTTATCTTACTAAGCATAAGATCTCATTAAACTGTTGACAAGGAAAAGCTATCAGGTGACTACTTACAAAGTCTGTCAAATTCCTCCTTCGTCAAAGTCATCTTATTCCATGTCCACTCCAGAACAAAGCGCAGGTTAGCAGCACATCTTGGTTGCTCTTTTAAAGTAGAACAGGGGGAAAAAAATTAGATATGAATCAGGAAAGTTAAAGAGCAAAATTGAGACTTCGAAAAAGTAACCTGCTTTTACCTTCTGAAGTCCAATGCTTGATACAGCTGGCTAAAAGTGCATGGGAACTAGTATCAACAGCAGCTGACAGGACTGCTTGCAATTTTTCATCCTAGAAATGGAGAGGTTTTACTGAAAATAACCATTTGATTCCTACGTGAGTATTTAGGTTTGCAGAGACACTAAGCAACAAGACCACTACATCTTAAGGAATCGGTTTTGGTGCATAGATCCTGTGGACCAAAGGAAAACAAGCATTTCTGAAAAACAGCAATATTTCTAGTGACTGTCAGACAGTCACTACAGGCAGTTTCTCCTTAAAGAACCACATTCTATGAAAAAATAAAAATATACAACACAACCTTAACACGTACCTGACTTAAGTTAGCAGGATGTACATCAGTGTGTCTTGGAGAGAGCAAGCCTGCTACAAGACATCTGTTAAAGCCTTCAGGAATAGCTTCATTTAAAGAATATCCCGAGTTCTTTAAGAAGTGCAATGTCTGGAGAGAAAACCAAAGTTCATAAGACAAAACTGAAGTGGAAGTTTAATCTGTGCAACAATATAATAATTTGAGGCTTACTTAATAGGGAGAGCATGTAGTGCACCCTCTTATAAAACCACAGTAAACAAACAAATGTTCGATTAAAGAGTTACTCTAGCCACCGTGACCACTTCAGTGATTTGAGGTGCTCACGGAGGCAAGAGTCTAAAAGTCAATATGTGCAATGTTTCATCTTTAACACGGAGTAATTTTTAATGGTGTGCCTGTGGAGAGTTGCACACATGACTTGGGCAGCTCAGTAGCCTTATAAAAATTTAACAAATTTATTTTTATGTGTGCGGTGTTCCTTAATCTGTATTATGTATAGATTTTGGTCACTACGGTAGCACCATTCCTGCAAGATACGAGAATTCCTTTTTGTCTTTACAGAACTCTGTTCTGGGCTACCTAATGTAAATTATGTGCATTTTGTTGCATCTGTCAGCAAGCTGGCGACGGAAGTGATAATCTTTTCGCTTGCAGTCAGAATACCTGCAAACGGAAGATAGATTGCCCTATGCTAATTATAAAAGATTATGGTTATATTATAACAACACTGTCTCCCTTTTTTGACTCATAACTCACGCATGCAATCTGAGCTGACATAGCGGTCTAATGTAACAAGTCAGGCCCATGTGATGCAAGTAAGGGGCGTGTCAATCAAAGCTGTGGTTAAAGGTTTTAATGCAAAAGGAGGGCAAGGATGACTACTTTATTCATAGTGCACAATAGGGAATTTTACACAGGAAAGATCCCTCCAAAGGGTTGGAATGGACTCCAAATAAGTACTTTATACAACATGGGGGTAGAGAAAATAATTACCTCCTTATGAAAGCCTGCACATTTTAGATGCACTATTCCACGTTTCAGAAGACATGCGGCATCTTGAACAAGAAGAAGGAATAAAAAAAAATTAGAAAAAAAATGTACACACAAAAATGTCTATGTATGAACTTCCATTCTAGGTTACAGAAAAAAAAAAATAAAAAAAAAAAAACAACCACACGCAAGTGTCTCCAGTCCTACATTGCAGGAAAAAAAAAAAAAAATTTAAATTGACATACCAAAGTTGTAGGTACTTGGGTAGAAGAACTGCTCAGGTGGTGGGTATGAGGGTGGAGCACCACGGTTTAAACTGCGATCTTGCACAAGAATATCAATAATACTCTCATCCGTCAGATTCATCAACTCTTCAAGAGACCAAAATGCAAAATAGGAGCAGCTGCGAAGAAATTGACCCTGCCTAAATAAAAAAAATAAAAAATTAATTAAAAAAATAAATAAAGCAAATTTGGGGAGGGGAGTAAATAAACAGTTAAAATTTTACTTCCTGTAAGTTTAATTTTCTTTAAGATTAGAGATCATGCCCTACTACCCAAATATCCTGTAATCTGTACCGGAAAAGGCAGGCAGCTAAAAATTTCAAAACAATATTCTAATACTGCTCCTTCCTTAGGTATGACTTGGGCTGATACCACAAAGTCCCCAGAAATACAAAAACAAATAATTGCAAAACATTAAACGGGGACATGGTGAACTTTGTAAAAGTTGAGCCTTTTCCCTAGATTAGATGCAGTGCACTACAACTGGAACAAGCAATCCCTTAAAGGTGGGGAGGCCTAATTTTTACCACCGCCTGTAAAACCTTATATGCAAAGACAGAATCCTCAGAGACCTTTATGTCTAAATCGATAATGCTTTGAAAAAGTGTGCAGAGAATACCAGGTAGCATCTCTGAGCAGTAGCAATTACCCTAGTAGAATGTGCCTTTAACTGAAGAACAGTTACATTAGAAGACTTATAAGCCAGTATATTAGCATCTTTGATTCCTCTTCCTAGGGAACCTTTCAATACCATAAACTAGGGATGCACCGAAATGAAAATTCTGGTCCGAAACCGAAAATTCAGGATGCCCTTGGCCGAAAACGAAAATTACTTCCCCCACCCAATGAGATATATATATATATATAGATATAGATATATAGATATAGATATATAGATATATATATATAGATATATATAGAGAGAGAGAGATATATATAGATATATATATAGATATATATATAGATATATATAGAGAGAGAGATAGAGAGAGAGATAGAGAGAGAGATAGAGAGAGAGATAGAGAGAGAGATAGAGAGAGAGATAGAGAGAGAGATAGAGAGAGAGATAGAGAGAGAGATAGAGAGAGAGATAGAGATGTAGATATATATGCAACCCCTGCACTCCAACGAACAAAAAGAAAACAATACCTGGTGCTCTGGTGGCTCAATTATATGCAAAGAAAAAATACCGGCACTCAAAGATTTTCCAAAGTTTACTTCTCCATTTATTGTGGAAAAATCAAAATTGACGTTTCAGCTCCTCTAGGGAGCTTTCATCAGGACACAAATCCGAAAACGAAAATTAATTCCCCCCCAATGAGATGGAGATAGATTATATATACACATACATACACACATCCATACTTAGATTATATATACACACATCCATATATATATATATATATATATGTATGTGTGTATATATAATCTATCTCCATCTCATTGGGGGGGGGGAATTAATTTTCATTTATATATATAAGTATGGATGTGTGTATGTATGTGTATATATAATCTATCTCCATCTCATTGGGGGGGAATTAATTTTCGTTTTCGGATTTGTGTCCTGATGAAAGCTCCCTAGAGGAGCTGAAACGTCAATTTTGATTTTTCCACAATAAATGGAGAAGTAAACTTTGGGAAAAGAGAGGGAGAGGGAGGGAGAGAGAGGGGGAGAGAGAGAGGGAGAGGGAGGGAGAGAGAGGGGGAGAGAGAGGAGAGGCAGGAGAGAGAGGGGGGGAGAGAGAGGGGAGAGGGGAGGAGAGAGAGGGGAGGGGGGAGAGGGGAGAGGAGAGGGGAGAGGGGAGGAGGGGGAGAGGGGAGAGGGGAGAGGGGAGAGGGGAGAGGGGAGAGGGGAGGGGGAGAGGGGGGGGAGAGGGGAGAGAGAGGGAGAGAGAGACAGAGAGAGGGAGAGAGAGAGAGGGAGAGACAGACAGAGAGAGAGGGAGAGAGGGGGAGAGAGAGAGGGAGAGACAGACAGAGAGCGAGGCAGACAGAAGGAGAGAGAGACTGTGACAGACAGAGAGGGAGAGAGAGAGGGAGAGACAGACAGACAGTGAGAGAGA